CTCTACATTGTAGAACGTATATCATTATATCTGTCATTTAAACCTTTGTTATCAGTCTACATTATAGGACATACACCATTATGTCTATTATTTGATCTTTATCAGTTCCACATTTTAGGACGTACACCATTATATTTATTATTTGATCTTTATCAGTTCCACATTTTAGGACGTACATCATTATAATTATTATTTGATCTTTGTCAGTTCCACATTTTAGGACGTACACCATTATATTTATTATATGATCTTTATCAGTTCCACATTTTAGGACGTACACCATTATATTTATTATTTCATCTGTATCAGTTCCACATTTTAGGACGTACACCATTATATTTATTATTTCATCTTCATCAGTTCCGCCTTATAGAATTTATGTCATTATATCTGTTTGTTTTTTATGTTTGTTATCAGCTTTGCATTATAGGATATATACATTTATGTCTGTTAAATGAACTTTATTTTCAATTCTGGAATGTGAAATGAATACAATCATATCTGTTATTTAAACTTTAGTTACAGTTTTATAATATAGCCTTTGTGCAATCAGAAATTGAACTTTTTGTGCTTGCTTAAAGGATGCTCAATCAATAAATTTCAACAAATTTACTTCAAAACTACAAATTAACAAGAACAATTGGAAACAAAGAGGACACCGTGTATTGTGTTAACTGTTGAACTATAGATGCTCTGCCGAGTGTGTTGTGTTTCCATCAAGCTGCCATTTGTACGGAAGATTATAGTCCTCATCCTTATGTAATAATTCAACAAATTACTCTTGGCATGACTAGAAAATGTGCATGTCGGATTTGATTTTAAAATGTGGAATCCCAGAACCAGGCTGAAGAAGCTTTCATACAAGATGGTCTTATTAACCTTTCCCTTCCCCCAATACTTATTAACTTTTCCCTTCCCCCAATAATCACGTAACCTAAGAACTGAACACTATATCGAATATGTCCCTAAAAATTTTCAGATTATAACATTTTCTCCCACAGACAGACGAACAATATTCGGTACTCTTTACAAATTAGCAAGAATAAAAACTTTTATGACAAATTTTGTTTTCACTCATTTAAGATTTTCTCCTTGAAGCGTTTGTTTGTTTGTTTTGGAATTTCGCGCAAAGCTACACGAGGGCTATCTGCGCTAGCCGTCCCTAATTTAGCAGTGTAAGACTAGAGG